ATGCAGAGTTTGTTCTCTGACCACAATACAATTGTGATTGGGATCTCTGGAGACAGATTCTGAGATAGAGTTGAAGTTTCAGATGTTTCTTAAAGATCAATACCCATGAAAGGAAGGGGGAGAAGCAGGATTAGGCAAAGGAAGAAGTTTAAATACATTATAGGCCCAAAAAAGTCAACCTGGTGAGGAGCTCTGGGGTGAGTGTTTTTCTCTTCCAAGTGTCCTGTATTGGGTCTTCATACCCTGACCCCAACCTTGCTCATTCACCAAATGCAGGCTTCCCTGCAAAGGGCATGACCTTGGGTGAGGCAGCTCTCTGTAGCTGAGGCCCACCTTTAAGTAGCTGACAGCTAGAAATTGTCTTCTAGTTGTACTCCCCACAGCTGAGCAGTAAGACCTTCCTTGCAGAAGAATCTGGATATGCAACTCTATGTCTATCATAATCCATCCCTTGCTCTGCTCAGATATACTTCTCCATACATATCTATATATCTATGTATATCTCCTATATATCATTATATCTTGGCTGCACCGCTAACAAGCTGTGTGACCTTTTGGTGCCTGAAATTCCTCCTCTGTAAAACAGGGATAATAATGGTTTTCCCCCTCAGCATTAAATTAGATCAGAGGTCAGCAAATTTCTTCTCTAAAGGGATAGATAATATTGATAAATATTTTAGATTTGGGGGGCCATATGGTTTCTGTCACGACTCCTCAACTCTGCTGTTATAACACAAAAACAGTCATAGACAATATGTAAATGAGTGAGCATGGCCAATAAAACTTTATTTATTAAAACAGACAGCAGGCCAGATTTGCCCACGGGCTGTAGATTGCGGACCCCTGAATTAGATTATACATGTAAGAGAACTATTAATTTAGGGCCTCATAAGGCAAAGGAGATTCCCCTGATCCTTGGCAAGGAATGTCCCCCCAAAACAGGAGTGTGTGGCCATTCCCCACGGAGAGAGTCACCTGAATCAAGATGTGGAGGTACGATCAGGATGTCAGATCCAGGGATGTGAAAAGTGGTTTATTATACCTGCTATTCTGTTGAGAAATCCCTTCTTCACTCTGTTTTCCTGACAAATTCCTGCTCCTCTTCCAAGACTCAGTTTTTAAAATCATGTCCTAAGCCTTCCTGAGAGCCCTTCCCACACCTCCATCACTACCACCCAGTCCCTGACAGAGTCAGCCCCCTCTTACTGTGCTCCCGCAGCACACATCATGCCCCTGTCAGAGCACTGATCACACTGCACTGGCGTTATCAGATTGAGCTCCTCCCTTGCATCATCAAGCATGGCAATAATAAATGTGTGTGACTGAAGGAATGCATGAGCTTTACATTACAGAGAAAAAGTTGGGAGACATAAATATATAGCTAACAAATCAGGGGAGCTAAACTGATTCTGACACAGTCTTGCCCTGAGTAGCTGTCAGACCAAAGGGTAGAAAGACACAAGTATTGGAAATCCCAGTCCCAGACAACAACATGGCTGTGACAGAGGAAGGCATGTTCAGCTGTGCCCATAAAAAGAACAGATGCCTGGGGGATCTGGAAAAACCTAGAGAGAAGAGGATGTTGGAGCCCAGCTTTGAAGCATGAATAGTAGTTCTCCTGGCATATGGTTGGGAAGGATATTCCAGAAGCATGAAGTACACTGTATCTGATTTTAAAGAGCTGAGTGACCCCTGAGAATTAATCTCCAGTGTCTTTAAGCATTAGTTAGGGCTGGCTATTCTGTAGTAATGTTAAAAGGTAAACTAAGGCATATTAAAATTTGTAAGAGTTTGAGCAAAAAGTGATTTGAATTGGGCAGCACCAAACCAGAGGTGGTTAGAAGTATGCCACTGGCAGGAGCTAGGGGGTAAGACTTTTACAGAGAAGACAGAAGCAAAGCAAGGAAATTATTTGACTGCTGGTAGTTTAAGCAGTTGCCTTATTTGTAGTTCCCCTTATTTGGGAAAGCTTGTTGGCTGTTTGTGATTGGTTGTCCTTAGGTTTTGATTTCTTAACGTCGAGGCATTTGACAGGCTTAGGTTTTGGTTTGCTTATGAAGGCTGCTAAGGCATTAGAATCATCTCAGTCTAATGGCCTCCTTGTTTAATTAATTTAACAGTAATAACATTATATGGTATTTATTATTTTAAAACTAGATTCTGGGACTTCCCTGGCGGACCAGTGGTTAAGACTTCACCTTCCAGTGCAGGGGGTGCAGGTTCAATCCCTCGTCGGGGAGCTAAGATCCCACATGCCTCGCAGCCAAAAAGCCAAAACATAAAACAGAAGCAATATCATAACAAATTCAATAAAGACTCTAAAAATGGTCCACATCAAAAAAATCTTTAAAAAAACCCAAACTGTAGATTCTAAAGTGCTTTTCACTGACACTGACGCTGTAGCTTTCTTCCTTAGGTCAGCAAACATTGAAATACCCAAATAAGTATTTCACAACCTTCCGCTACTTTACAACATAGAAAGGACTAAAGGAAAGTGGCTGACCCAAGGCCACAGAGCAAGTTCAAGACCAGATTGAGAGGAGAACCCAGGAGTTCTGAATTATCCTTCAGAGTTTAACCCCAAACACTTTCCCTCTGCTACTATCTGATGTGTCTTTAGCAGGGGCAGAGTCTTCCCATCCCAGTCAGGGAAAGTGGCCCTGGGAGAAAACATCTGAATTTCATTTTTTAGGATGATTATCAGTGGTTTGCTAGATGAAACGCAACCTGACTTTCCCTCTCCCAGGGCTGTCTCCGGGGGAGAACACTGCACCACTCTGACTTCTCCACCTCAGTTAAAACCTACTTTAGTAAACATACAATAAGTGCTCAATAAACATTTACTGTTATTATTACCATATCTCAGATTGTCAAAGTGAGGCAATGTTACGTAGATCAAACAACTTAAACCCTCAGAGACTTCTCATCTCCTTAACAGGAGGGGCTTCCCCTGCTTTGCTGTTCCACTTCCCCATCTTTGCTTTACACCCTCCTGCTGTGTTTCCATTTTCTACACGTCTTAGCTGAATAGGTTCCATCCTCCTATACCTGGAATTCTTTCCTAGTTTATGTCTTTGCTCCTTCATTGTTTCCGTACACCTTTTCCGTAGCTCCCGTATTCCAGTTCTCACAGACTTTGCTCTGAGAATTTTCTGCTGTACGGCACCAACACCTACTCGAAATATGGCGCCTCCCAGTCTGTCCCACTTTTCGCTCAACGGGCGCGGCCACGTTAACCCCCTGGCTAAGGGAGACTAACAACCGGGGAAGTCTCGCGATAAAGGCAAGTCAGGGGCCGTGCCACCTTCCGCGATAGCGCAGAGGGTTCAGTGTCCCCGGTGTTGTAAGGGGCGGATTGTAGCTTTCAGCTAAGGGCAAGGGAGGAGAGGCGGGAAGGTGAGGAGTCCGGTTCTCAGGAAAGGTTTCAGTCACTGACTGCGGTGTTGGGAGTAAGGGCGTCATGTTTGACCAGCGGTTGAGTGTTTGTAGCGGTGCGTGTATTCCGGTCCTGTCGTGGTTAGTCATTAAGGTGGCTTGCCTAAGATAGTGATTGCCGCCCAGTGGTGCTGCTGGTAGTGGACTCTGAGGAGGGTCAGAGGCTTACTGTGGGGTTTGTGGGGCTAGTGATTGGCCCTACCTGTGTGAGTGATTCAGAGCCTTTCAGGGTCATGGGTTGAAGTGACAGAAGTCAATGGTTGGGGCCCTGAAGGGGGGTATCCCTTCCTTAGTGTTATTTAGGGTCAGTGAGTGGAGGCTGTAGTGCACCTGCGGGGCGCCTCTGTGATAGCTTAGGGAGCAGGCGGCTCGTGGTCAGTGATTGGGGCTACAGCTTAAATTTTAACAGCTTGCATCCAGGCTGCGCTCTGCACATGTCATTATGTGCTGGGTTTCCTTGTGTGGGTTTATGCCAGCAAGGATGTTGAGGATGGGGGAGAGTTCCCATCCTTCCCCCAGAGGTTCTGTTTCCATCCTTGGATCTATCTCCTAAACAGACTTCAGGCAGTTTATGTTCGCTGCTACTAATCTTGTAACTAGTCAAGTACTTCAAGCCAAAGCCTTTACTCAGAAACACTCTCTCAAACCTCCTTTGCCTTCTCCCTGTCCTTCAATCTATGCGCTGTCCCTGGACAATTTTAACCACACTCATTGTATCAGTTTCCACCCTTAAACTCGTGACTTTACCATCTATAACTCCAGCCCAGACTTTTCTAACAAGCTCCAGATTCACAGTAGCCAGCTCTCTCCTACACACCTCTGTGAGGTTTACTCACAGACATTTCAATCTTAGCATGATCAAAATAGTTATCTTCCTTCTTCATACTTTACCTACTCATCCTACTATATTCTACATCATTATAAATGACATCACTCTTCGTCCAGATAGGTATAATAAAAATCCAGAAATCCTTATTTTTTCCTTTCAGGCAAACTCCCTCTAGTGAATTGTGCCCTTTAGAACTTCCTTGATATGATCTTGGATTAAGAGGTCAGTAGGACAATAGCTGCTAACAATAACTATCATTTTTTGTTTCAAAAATAATATAACTTTATTCTAGAAAAATTGGAAACTGAAAATGCTAAACGCAACTTAATAGAAATCACTTCTAATCCTGCCACCCAAAGACAACCATAACATTTTGATGTATGTCATTTTAGTCACTTTTTTCTTACAAATATATTTCTTTTCAACATGTTTATTGTTTTATGACTTATTTTTCTTGCTTTGTAATTCAACAAGAAAAACTTTTTCCAGTATGTAAATACTTTTATAAGACATTTTTAATGACTGTGTGGTATTCTATTTTTTCGGTAATTGATTTAACCAAACCCTATTGTCAAACATCTAAGTGGTCTCTCTGAATATTTGAAAGGAGCAGTCTCTAAAGGGTAGTCTTTTATGTAGTTGATCATAGGATTTCATAGGCTCATGGTTGTGGGAATCACAGAGCAGGCTCAGACTCTCAAAGCTATCTTCTTTTTCCCCTCCCTGCTCATCCCAGCTCTGTCTGTACAGATTCTACTGCTTCTGAAGAGCAACAGAAAATGAGCAAGTCTCAGGTAAGTGAGCTATTTATACCCCATTTTGTTTTCCACTGTATTTGAGGCAGTTTAAAAGAATTAATTCAATTAACTGAAAAAATGGAAATAGAGATTGGGGAAAATAAAATAGAAGATCTGACCAAGGAAACTTGGAACATAGACATACAAGTTGTAGGATCTTTCAGAGTTAAAGTTGAGCATACCATCTGCAATTATATGATTTACATTGTACATTAAATTTGATAATTTCTTGAAGATAGTAAAGAGTTTTTTTTGCATTTAGGTTTGAAGTTATTCTCCTGATGGGACTTCATGCATATGATGTAGTAGTCAGTGTCCTTAACATTTACCAACACATGATAAATTCCATAGCAGTTTTCTCCCTGGCTGTTTCTTAAACCATTTCTCCAAATAAGTATAGGGCATAATAACAAGGCAGAATTCAATTTCTAGGCAGTAAAATCAGAGGGCCAAGTACACAGCTGTCAAACAGTCTGGCTTGATTCGTGAATAAAATCTGTAATTTTGGAAGCAGCATTTCTGGGAGTTTGTAAAATTAGTCCAGGGGATTCATGTCATTAAAGGTAATACTAATTTTAATTTTATTAAATTTAAAATAATTTTAATTTGCAGTTTTTGACCAATAAATAATCAGATATTTTTCCTTTAAAATACAATAGATTGAGAACCTCGAAGTGTATATCAAGTGAACATGCTTGGTGGATAGTGGAGATCAAGTGAATTTGCTAATTTATGTTGGTTTATCACTCAGCTACTAGCCAGCATCTTAGTGGTTGTGATTGTCATACAGTTTTAAATGTTTTTATTTGAAGGTACATATTGTTTGATTTTTACCTATAATGTTCCATTGGTTTATTCCCACTGTGTAGCATATAACTTCAGCATAGTAGTGTTCAAAGTGGGGAGCATGCATTCCTTAGGAGATGTGCAAGATGATCCCCTGGGAAATGGAGAGAAAAGATGAGAAATTCTACTTATATATCTTTTTATGACCATAATATCTCAGTATTGAGTTGCTTATATATAACTTATGGGTTTTTTTAAAGGTGTATATTATTGATGTGTGTGCTTTTTTTAACTGAAAAATGTCTCACCAAGATTCGCCTCTTTAGAACAAAATATGCTCCTGTCAACCAGGAGATTCCAAAAATTTTAGGAGCTCTGTCAAAAAATCAGAGTCAAACATCAAATATTAGAACAAAAGATGCTCCTGGTACCTTTATTGCTTAGGAAATTACAAAAGTTTTAGGAGCTATGACCAAGAGCCAGGGAGAAGACTAAAATATATATTTCTTATCATATCACAATATCATGGTTTCTGATTTTTAAAAGTTTGGGGATTACTGGGGTTTTTTTCTTCTTTTTTTCATTGAAGTATAGTTGCTGTACAGTACTGTATAAGTTATAGGTTTACAATATAGTGATACACAATTTTTAAAGGTTATACTCCATTTATAATAAAATATTTGCTATATTCTCTATGTTGTACAATACATCCTTGTAGCTTATTTTATACCTAATAGTTTGTACCTCTTAGTCCCCTACCCCTATATTTCCCTTCCCCTCTTCCCACTGGTAACCACTAATTTGTTCTCTGTATCTGTGAGGACTACTGGGTTTTGTACCTATAATTCTGTACCCAATTTCAGTGTGTGGGTTTTTCCATACCACCAAGCAGTCTTCCAACACCAGCTGGGTGTTCTACAATTTAACTTAATTTTGACACTACCTACTTGGAGAAAGCATCAGATCCTATAGGTTACGGGCTTAGTTCCACAAGGCTGCCCTTCACCTCGGATGCTAGTTGCAAGTCCAGATTGTTATCTGTGCTTCTGACCCACTGGCTGTAAATCAGAGGTTCCCACCACCCCCTCCTTTGTTTTGATTTATTTGCTACAGGGGCTCACAGGACCCAGGAAACCAGTTTACTCACTAGATTACCAGTTTGTTATTAAAGGATATGAATCAAGAGCCAGATGAAGAGATACATAGGTCCTGAACAAAGGAGCTTGGGGGCCAGCATGTGACACATGGAAGCACTGTGGTCCACCACCCTGGAGGTTTTCTGAACCCTTTCCTCTTGGGTCTTTATGGAGACTTCATTATGTAGGTGTGATTAATTATCATTGGCCATTGGTGATTTGTTCAACCTCTAGCCCTGCTCCGCTCCCTAGAAATCAGGGAGTGGGGCTAAAAAAAAAAAGCACCCTCTATTCACAGTTGGCTTCCCTGGCAACTAGCCCCCATACTTAGGTGCTTTCCAAAGATACCTCATTAACATAACAAAAGATACGTTTATCCCACTCCTCACAGAAAATTCAAGGGTTTTTAGGAGCTCTGTGCCAGGAACAGGATAAGGACCAAATATACTTTATTATAAACCACAGTGTCACAGTACCATTGGTACTAGTGCATCTCCTCATTTCCTTTATTCAGCTACCAACTCCCATAGTCATAGTCCAGATTTATAATTACCAGTAGCTCCAAGCATTTCACTCTCTGGCCCTTCCTTCCTTCCTTCTTTCTTTCTTTCTTTTCTTTCTTTCATTTTTTGACTGCGTTGGCCTTCGTTGCTGTGTGCGGGCTTTCTCTAGTTGCGGTGAGCGGGGGCTACTCTTCCTTGCGGTGCGTGGGCTTCTCATTGTCGTTGGCCATTATTTCTATTTCTAGCTCATTATCTAGTACCTTGACTCCAGAAATTCTTCAGTTCTGTACAGACCTCTGATCAATTGATCATCCATTTTTTCACTGTTTATTACATTCCTCTCCCCACTTCTTAATTCTCTCTTTTCTCAGCTTGAATTCCATGCTTCTCAGTTTTTGTTAGGAGCAACTGTCACCCCACGGAAGTCCAGTTGCCTACCCATTATTGCCATGTACATGTCAATTATAATAGATACCTTGAGCTTAATGGGGCAAGTAGATTTTCTTGTGGTAAAAAATATATAACATAAAGTTTGCCATTTTAACCATTTTTATGTGTACGATCAGTTGTATCAGTTATATTCACAATTTGTGCATCTATCACCACTATTTCCAGAACATTTTCATCACCCCAAACAGAAACTCTATGCCCAACGAGCGATAACTCTCATTCTTCCCTTCCTCCCACAGCCCCTGGTAGCTTAAAACTACTTTCTGACTCTGTAAATTTGCCTATTCAAGTTATTTCATGCAAGTGGAATCATACAGTATTTGTCCTTGTGTGTCTAACTTATTTTACTTAACATGTTTTCAAGGTTTATCTGTGCTGTAGCATGTATCAGAACTTCATTCCTTTTTATGGCTGAATAATATTCCACTCTATGTATATACCACATTCTGTTTATCCATTCATCTGCTGATGGACACTTGGGTTGTTTGTACCTTTTGGCTTTATTGTAAATAAAGCTGCTATGAACATTTGTATACAAGTATCGGTTTGAGTCCTGTTTTCAAATCTTTTAGGTATATACCTAAGAGTGGAATTTCTGGGTCATATGGTAATTCTATGTTTAACTTTTGTAGGAACTACACAGCAATTTATGAGGATTCCAGTTTCTTCACGTCATTGCTAACACTTGTATTTTCTATTTTGTTGTTGATAACCATCCTACTGGGGTAAAGTGGTATCTCATTATGGTTTTGATTTGTTTCTCCATTGACTAATGACGTTGAGCATCTTTTCATGTGCTTATTGTCAGTTTGCATATCTTCTTTGCAGAAATGTCTATTCATGTTCTTTGCCCATTTTTTCACTGAATCATTTGTCTTTTTATTGTTGAACAAATAGAATTCTTGATTCCACCTCTCCCTCCACCAAGACCAGATCTTTCTTGTCTCCTGGACTTCAGTGGGATGCAGTTGCTTACACCAAAAACCAAGGAGTTTTAGTTGATTCCTCTCCTTTCTTCATACACTGTCTTTCAGAAGTATCTCAGTTGGATTTGATTAAGATCAAATTTTAAAAGAGAGTGCTCTTATTGAGGTAGAACTTAATCATGTTTTGAAAAGTAAGGAACAGTGAGTTCATTAGCACTTTATTGTTACTAACTGGTCAAAAATTATTTCATTTTTCTCATTATGTCTAGATATGCATTTTAAAAATTGAGTAGATTAAATGTTACTTACATTTTTTATTTTAATTTAAACTTTAAAAAACAATGGTTTCTGCTTTATTTAATTTTTTAAAGTGTTTTAATGGAAAAATTCAAACATATATAAAAATATAGAGAACAGTGTAATAAAACCCTTGTACTTCCTCATATATTTTCAACAATTAATATTTTACCAATCTGACATCTTTCCTCTTTCTCTCCTTTTATTTATTTGTTCTCTAGAGTTGCACATTTTAAAGCAAATCTCATACATGGCATTTCGCCAGTATATACTTGCTTTGCAGATTACTGTTGTTGTTATCTTCGTTTTCTGACAAGTGATACTGGTTTTCCCTTTAGTGGTTTCCTTTTAAAATACATTTATTTAAGTAAAGAAGTTGTTGAGTTAAAACTATTAAGTCAATAATAGCGCAGGTGACATGCAGATATGGTAAAACTTCTGAAGGCTGTATGTGAAAAAATAATGTTTGAGAGCATTATACTGAAGTGCTCACAGGTCCTTGAATTTACCATGTTCTTCATGTACACATGCCTTTTTCCTACTCCACTCTTCATCTGGAATGATCTTTCTCCCTCCTCCACAGGTTACCAGAGAATACACTATTCATTTTTTATGTTTCAAAAACTTATTATTTTATCTTTACATTTAAAATTTTTTATTTTTACATTTTTCATTATTCATTTTGTATAACTTTACAAAGCCCAAAATAGAATCACTCTTTCTTGCCTATTTCTGTCATAACCTATTTAACATCTTATAGCATTTATATACTTACTTGTTTGCCTCCATCTACTAGTCTGTAAACCTGCTGTGTTTTATTCATATTCGTATCCTGAGCACCAAATAGTGCTGGTCACATAGGTGCTTAATACATGCTTGATGGAAAGAGAATGGATGATTCTCAATGGCAAAGTTTTTCTAATAGGAGTTTGACTTCTCCCACATAGTAGAACCCAAAATTGGCCTCATGGTAAATATTTTCTTTAACTTTTTGTGATGAACCCTGCATGATGAAAACAGCAATTATTTCTCATACATCTCTTATACATCACTCAGTGTTTTCACTTCAGATTTAATAGGAATGTTCTGTTACAGGGATTTGTTTCATTCAAAGATGTGACTGTGGACTTTACTCAGGAGGAGTGGCAGCAGCTGGACTCTGCTCAAAGAAACCTGTACAAGGATGTGATGCTGGAGAACTATAGCAACCTTGTTTCAGTGGGTAAGGACATCTTCCCTCAGAGGGTACTGATATTAGTTACCTATTGTTGTATAACAATTATTATAGTGGCTTAAAGTAAACATTTTTTAACAAACAATTTCTGTAGGTCAGGAATATGGAACAACTCAGCTGGGTGGTTCTGGCTTGTGGTCTCCCATGTGGTTGTAGTCAGATGTTAGCAGGGGCTGAATTCATCTGAAAACTTGACTGGGACTGTAGGATCCATTTCTAAGGTAACTCACTCCCGTGGCTGTTGACAGGAGCCTTAGTTCCTTGCTGTTCATTGGCTGGAGATCTCAATTCCTTGCCATATGGGCCTGTTCTCACGACCTGGCAACTAATTTCCCCTAGATAGAGTGAGAGCAAGGAGGAAGTCACAGTGCCTTTTATGACCAAGTCTCTGAAATCACACATGATCACTTCTACCTTCTTGTGTTCATTAGAAGTGAGTTACTAGATATACAGATTGCCAGCAAACACACGAAAGGATGCTCAACATTACTAATCATTAGAGAAATGCAAATCAAAACTACAAGGAGGTATCACCTCACACTGGTCAGAATGGCCATCATCAAAAAATCTACAAACAATAAATGCTGGAGAGGGTGTGGAGAACAGGGAACCCTCTTGCACTGCTGGTGGGAATGTAAATTGATAGAGCCACTATGGAGAACAGTATGGAGGTTCCTTAAAAAGCTAAAAATAGAACTACCATACAACCCAGCAATCCCACTACTGGGCATATACCCTGAGAAAACCATAATTCAAAAAGAGTCATGTACCACAATGTTCATTGCAGCACTATTTACAATAGCCAGAACATGGAAGCAACCTAAGTGTCCATCGACAGATGAGTGGATAAAGAAGATGTAGCACATATATACAATGGAATACTACTCAGCCATAAAAAGAAACGAAACTGAGTTATTTGTAGTGAGGTGGATGGACCTAGAGTTTGTCATACAGAGTGAAGTAAGTCAGAAAGAGAAAAACAAATACCGTATGCTAACTCATATATGTGGAATCTAAGAAAAAAGAAGGCTCTGATGAACCTAGGGGCAAGACAGGAATAAAGACGCATAGAGAATGGACTTGAGGAGATGGGGAGGGGGATGGGTAAGCTGGGAGGAAGTGAGAGAGTAGCACTCACATATATACACTACCAAATGTAAAACAGATAGCTAGTGGGAAGCAACTGCATCACACAGGGAGATCAGCTCGGTGCTTTGTGACCACCTAGAGGGATGGGATAAGGAGGGTGGGAGGGAGACGCAAGAGGGAGGGGATATGGGGATATATGTATACATGTAGCTGATTCATTTTGTTATACAGCAGAAACTAACACAACATTGTAAAGCAATTATACTCCAATAAAGATGTTAAAAAAAAATGAGTTACTAAGTCCAGCCCACACTCAAGGGGTGCAGAATAAGCTCTACTTCCTGAAGGGAAGCGTGTCAAAGAATTTATGGGGATGTATTAAACCCACCATAGTACCCAATCAACTGCCTTTCCTTTATATTTTGCTAAAAGCTACTGGGTCTCTGAATGCTTAGAGAGCTTCATTTCAACCTATAAAGATCAAAAGAATATTAATTTTGAGTACCAAATACTGTGCTTCTACCTCTCCAGTGAACTTGGATGGAAAGAAAATGGATACTGCCTCCTGCTCATTCTTCAGAGGCTGAAGACAATGGGCTGGGCCGAAGTTCTTGGTTTTTATAAATTGTGATATAATGTATATAATAAAGTGTTCAAATATTAATTACACAGCTGATGCATTTTTTCATATGTATACACCTACCTGACCACTACTCAGATCAAGATACTGAATATTTCCAGCACCCCAGCAGGCTCCCTTGAACTGCCCCCTTACCATTTACCTACCTCCTCAGAGATAACAACTTGGGGTTCTATCACCATAAATTAATTCTGTTCTTGACCTTCATGTAAGTGTAATCACACAGTATGTAAGGTTTGTTTTTTTTTTTTTGTCTAGCATATTTCATTTAACATAATATCTGTGAAATGCATTCATGTTATTGCATGTGACAGTAGTTTGTTGCTCCTTATTGTATTGTATTCTGTTTAATGAGTATACAATAATTCTTCAATTTATCCAGTCTACTGTTGATGGTCATTTGGGTTGTTTCAGATTTTGGCAATTATGAATAAAGTGCTTATTAACATTTTTATACATATCTTCTGGTAGAAATAAGCATATCATTTCTACTGGGTGTATACAGAGGAGTGGAATTTCTGGGTCATAGGGCATATGTATATTTAGCTTTAGTAGATACTACCAGTTTTCCAAAGAGATTATACCAATTTATATTACACTAGCAATGTAGTAGAGTTCCATCAACCTTTAGTAATGTCAGTCTTTTACATTTTAGCCATTCTGGTACATATGTAATGGATGTGAGTTCTAGGTTGGTTAGTTTATCCACTAACACCCAAGTCCTATATTATTTCCCATAAACAGGGTATCAGTCTCTGAATTCAGATGTAATCTTCTTGTTTAAGCAAGGAGAACCATGGATGGAGGAGGGAGAAATGTCAAATTGGGCCTATTCAGGTAAGTTGAGAACCTGGCAAATGGGAGGCAGGGAAGGAAGATTCATATTGATTAGTGATATGTTTGTCTTTTTTTTTTTTTTTTTTGGCTGTGTTGGGTCTTCGTTTCTGTGTGAGGGCTTTCTCCAGTTGCAGCGAGCGGGGGCCACTCTTCATCGCGGTGCGCGGGCCTCTCACTGCCGTGGCCTCTCATTGCGGAGCACAGGCTCCAAACATTCAGGCTCAATAGTTGTGGCTCACAGGCCCAGTTGCTCCGCAGCATGTGGGATCCTCCCAGACCAGGGTTCGAACCTGTGTCCCCTGCATTAGCAGGCGGACTCTCAACCACTGCGCCACCAGGGAAGCCCGATATGTTTGTCTTTGAAGTATTTTTTAGGAAATTATTATTGAAGGCCATAGATGTTTACAAATGGCTGAAAATAATTGATGTGGGTTTGTGGAATACCTAAATGACAGTGCTACATATCAAACACCCACATAATCCTTTTCCTTTAGTTGACTTTTAGAGAAATAGGCAATCCTCCTACCTATACTCTGAATCTTATCTAGTCCACATATTTAGGACACTTCGTAATTAGTTAGCATCTCTTTGACTAATATCTTTAGCACTCCATTCTCCCAAAGTGGGCTTATACTCCTCATGCACTCAGGCATTCTTAGGTATGCTCTCTTTCAAAGTAACTTACCGAATGATATTCATATTCTTTCTAATTACCTTCTCTTTTTCTCACCTTTCAGTGTGAAGTGTCTTGGAGTTATAATCTTTTGTTTGTTTCTTTAAAAAATTCTTTAGGGTCTCCAGTAATAGAAATATTATTCCTTCTTTTCCTGTCTTCCTTTTCCACTGCATTCTCTATGACCATTTTAATCTGATTCTTTTTTTTTTTTTTGGCGGTACGCGGGCCTCTCACTGTTGTGGCCTCTCCTGTTGCAGAGCACAGGCTCCGGACGCACAGGCCCAGTGGCCCTAGCTCACGGGCCCAGCCGCTCCATGGCATGTGGGATCCTCCCAGACCGGGACATGAACCCGTGTCCCCTGCATCGGCAGGTGGACTCTCAACCACTGCGCCACCAGGGAAGCCCTAATCTGATTCTTTATGTCATTTTTATTATCTTGGTTGTTTTCTTTCCTTTAGTCAGTTCCACTTATTAAATTTTTATTTCCCTTCTTTTCTTCCTGACCACACCTTGTAATTTAATCTTCCATTTTTTCCCCTGAGTTCAATCAGTTCTTTTTCATTTCTCCCTGTTTTTTGTTCATTTTGGTTTTTATCTTTTGAAGTTCTGACTCATGGTGGTTTTCCGTGTCCTGATATGCTTGTTTGAGTATATTTAATTCTGCCTGGAGTTCAAACAAAATTTTCTTCTGTTTCATGGCAAGTTTTTGAAGGGGACGATTTCCTCTGTTTATTTCTGCACAAATTCATTTCCTGATTTTATGTAATAGTTCTCTATGGACTTTACTTTTTCTTTTCATTTTATCATATCACAGTGTTTTTATGAGATTTCTAATTTTATGGATCCCTTTTCTGTTAATATAGCAAAGTTCAGGGACTTGAGCAGAGTCCTTTCTTCTTCTCTCTCTCCCTGCCTCCCTTCCTTCCTTTCTGTGATTAAGGAGGAGTTTTGAGTTTTCTGGTTTTGTGGTTCTCTTTTGTCTTCCAGGACCCTAAATTTCCTCTTTTTTTTCTTTTCCCCATTGCCACCACCGAGTTACCAGAGGGTACTTCTTCCTTCTTTTTAGCTCTTTGTCTCCCTTTGAAACTGCTATTCTTCTGAGGACTGTCCCCTTTAAATAGAGTCTATCTTATCTTGTGCCTTTTTAATGTCATCTGGCCCTTTAAGATGCATGTACTTTGAAATTCTCTCCCTGTAGTTGTGCTATAATCTGCCTGGTTACA